TTACATATTTCTGAGAATAAGTCGTTATAAACCATTTTGTTGTGCTTAGGCTAAGGACGGTTGTACCACTCGCTCTTTTCTTGAATGATTTAAATTTATGATTAACCCATCGTACTTCGGTATTTCCAAAAGACAAATATCAAAATTAGCATTTAATTTGCTTTTCTCCCAGCTAACTGGCTAATTAACAAAATTATTACTGATAAAAGTGGCAGTACCACAGCCGCTCTTTCTGACTATATTTTGTTACATAAAGAATTCATAAAAAACTATTTTGATTTTCATTTACTTTTTTTTTGAGAGTTCCTTCTCTCTCTAAAAAATCATTTTGCTATAGATAAATGTATAGCAACTTTCTACTATTATACCATTTGTAAAGAATACTAAAGTTTATTTCGGATGTTATATGAGCTTTATAATTCACGTTGCCTTCATTCTATTTCCTGACAATTACGATTGTATAATATGAAAGTATTCATCAATAACGAAAAACCATAATACCAAGCACATTTTGGAAGCGATATAATAAGAAACGCTATTTCTTCAAAAGTAACGCCTTTATTTTGCGTCGTTAGATTTCAGATACATATTTTTCAGAATTTCCCGTCCAATAAAATTTTATGGACTGTGCTATTTTCCGAGATCAAAGTAGTAAATTTAGTTCAATTCAAGCGTTTTCGATTAAACTTAATGGAGTTCATTGCATTGCATAAAAACTGCATATATTTTTGCTTTTTCATTGATATTTTGACTCGTCGAATTAACTATGATTTTAAAAAATGGTTAAAATTTAGTGTTAAATAATGTGATATAAGTAACGCATTTACACTTTACGAAGAATGCTTTTGTTTAGTGTTACAATTTAAATTTCAAATTTATTTATTAATATAACTTCATACACATTAGTTCCATGCCGGGTGAACAAAATTGATATCTAATATATTCCAATATTTATTGTTCGATGAATTGAGAAGTGATTAAAAAAATTTGAGTTGGCTCGTATCAATACATAATCAACAATAAAAAAATTAATTAAGTTTACTACAGTAACTTATTAACTAAAGGTTAATAAATTTCAAGTCGATTATCTACACATATCGGAACGGTTTTTCAACTTGCCTTACGACAAATTGCCACTTAAATTTATTGACTACAATATTGGTTCCATATCAATAAGCACACTCAAAAATAACAAGTCAACTTTACTCAAGTATTTGATGGTTCATTTTAATATAACCGTTAAAACTAATTAAGAGTTTTGTTAAAAAATATTACAAAATTAATCCTTTTGGATACAAGTGTGATTTCCGCAAGAGTTCACTGCTGTACTGAACAACAAGCAGACCAGTAGCGCTACTTAATAGACCAGACACAACAGCATGTTTCTACATTTTTCAATCAATAACAATAAAATTATATTTAAAAAATATAAAAAACAACTTTCAAAGAACTAAACATTTTGATAACAAATTATAATTCTTAATAATGTAACTATGAGTAACTAGTATTAACCCTTTCGCTACAAGTGTCGTCCATGGACGACATCCACTTGACTATCAGTGCGCACGAGTGTCGGCTATAGACGACATCCGTATAACGTGCTGTGTGTACAGGTGTTGTCCATGGACGACATTTTCAGTTAGTTTCAAATTTTCGAAACTTTTTATTTAAAATGATAGAAATATCTTATAATTAGAATATATCGTTATGCCTAGTTTGTTCAGTAACACTACTAACAATAAGAGACACGCTGTCCGTACAGCAAGGACACTCATGCGAAAAACACTATCGTCGCCAAAGAAAGGGTTGACACCCTGAATGTCGTCTATAGACGACACTAGTAGCGAAAGGGATAATAGAAAGTTAAAAACATAACAATTTCAGATAAAGCATTGGAATCTATCTGCATGTTTGATCCACTCGCAGTTTGAATTATAAATATAAGATTTCCTTTTAAAAGTCTTAAGTTTAAGTTTTAAGTTTTTGAGAACCTATTTATTAATTAACTTCCCGATGAGTCGAATTAAAACTTTTCGATCGAAAATTAAAATCTTTACATTTCATTACAACATTTTGGCATACCTTATAATTAGAAAAAATGAATGTATGCATGTGTTTCAAAGATAAGGGTCAAAAAGTGCAAAACATAGCAATCATTTTTTGAGATCGAAGCGTCCGATTTGAATGATTCAATAATTGATTAAAAAAATATCACTTGTATTAACAAAATGAAAAGTTGATTAAAATTTGTAAAGGCAATACCAGTGGTTTCAGGGATCTAATAAAAAAAGTTAAGAAAAATGTCATTTTGAGTTCAAAACAATCAACAGGCATATGAAATAATATTAAATGAAAATATCATTTAGTTTTGTTGGTAAATATGTACCAAAATGTGTTGAGTCCGTACCAAGATTTATAATCTTTAACCATTAGATTTTGACGTGGCGATTATGTGCTTCGCTATTTTGTGTCTTAAACAGCTACGCAGCCCAATTGCTTTAAAAGTAATTCAAAATTTTCAAGAAATTTCAAAAACTCTCAAAAATCTGCTTATAAAACCTTATAGAAATTTTAAATTCTGGTCCGAAAAGTTCAGCAATTTGCCTTAAGATACAATGCCAAGCACCACTAGTGTGATATTCATTTACAAAATTATCAGTAATTTTCCTGGAGGAACATCGCCATTTGCCAATAGTTTAGTTACATATACGAGCCGAGCGGAAAACACACTTGTAGCCAAAAGGATTAAATTTTATAACAAAACTCTTAATTAGTTTTAACGGTTATATTAGTATAACCCCAATACTTGAATAGACTTGGCTCGTATTATAAATTATGTATCAGCTTACCTCTGAGGCACTGCCGGCTTCTGAACATTTCTCCTTTCCGATGGAACGCTGCTGGTGGTGGATTCCGCATCGCTCATCAATGGGGCGTTTTCGAAGTTTTGCACTTTCCTCTCCAGGGGTGAGCCGTCGCTGAGCGTCGTGGGATTCTTGTATGTTAGATTTATCTGCACATAAGTTGGAGGCGGAACGGCGGGCGGTACGCCGCTCTGCTGCGCGTTCGACGGCGGCGGTGGCAGGTTCTGGTGGTAGACGATGGGCAAGTTCTCGGGCACCTAGGTAGAGATAAATAATAATCGATTAGGATTAAAAGATTTTTTGCATCAGTACCACTATTACTTCTATAAGCTATATATAATAAAAATCAAAACGGTTAACCACTGGGTGACCTTTCGACCTTTTTTTCCAATATAATTACCCATCAAAATTACCGAATGTTGTTTTCTGTTTATAATAATAGATTGTTATTTATAACAGCAAATAAAAAAGCATCAAAAGAAATATTGTAAACACTTTTCCTAGAAAAAATCATATTATATTATTTACTTATATAACAAAATAATTGACTCGATTTAAGGACTTTCTGCAAAATTACCTATTGACTTAAAATTTTAGAGAAAGATGAATGTGGTGTGGGTATTTGATATAACCAATTTTTAGATGAATAAATCGATAAATTAAAACTGGTGGTGTATGTTGTATGGCATTGTGCCTTGAAACATATTGCTAGTTCTTCTCGTTCAATAATGAAATATTCGAAGAATATCAAATGCTTTCAAATATATTATTATAAATACTTTAACTTTTATTATAATAATAATAATGAATAATAGTAAGTCAGGAATACGTAAATGCATTTACAGTGCGATATACAAAAAAACCTGTTTAACAATGACTAGGGGGACATGGCATCGTTCCTTGAGGCAAATTGGTGGACAGATACTTCCCGTACCGTTTTTCAAAATTTTCAAAATCTTTAAAATTTGTTGTAAACATTGAAAAAGAATAGATATTTAACAATTTTGAATTTTTTGAAAATTTAGCTAATTTAAAGACAAAATTCGAATATATGCAAAAATTTTCATTTTAGATTTTTTGCGATTACTATAACTCCCTGAGGTTAATAAAAAGTATTAAGATATTTAAAAATATTGAAAGCCGAACATTTATATTTAATTTGTTATTACAAGGCTCTTTTGTGCTCGAATAATAAAAAAAATTTGGTTAAAGTTAGCTATTCTTTAATCAATTATAGAATCCGTGAAGTGAATTTTCTTTTCTCATGAATCACTTAGCCAAAGAAAAGAATATTTTTAACTTCCCGTAGGGTAAGTTTTAGTAATAGGCCAAAAATGAAAAATGAAAATTTTTGCATATCTTCACGTTTCAGAGGTTTCTGAACATTTTGACATACCTCAGAAAAATGGATGTGTGGTGATTCCCACCGATTGAAATGATTAAAAAAAATCGATTCCTATCGGTAGGAGGATGTGCTAATTAGTTTTACGCAAAGGCAAGTCCAGCCATTACGGAGATACGGAGCAAAGAGTGCAGAAAATAGAACTCGAGTTTTTGAGAAAACGAAGAATTCGATTCGAATGATCCAAAGAACATTCAATTCATAATGATGGGGAGGAGTGGTGATTAGTTTTTGGCAAAGGCAGATTCAGCCATTTCGAAGATACAAAGCTAAGTGTGCAAAAAAATTGCAGTTTTTGAGAGAACTGAGCATTCGAATTGAATGATTCGGCTTGCGGTGACAAAATAATTGCTTTTCAAAAAAAATTTTTTATGTATCGAATAAATAATTAAGATTTTAATTTTAATTCTGGCTTAAGTTCCAAAGCTCACTTATATACTTTAAATGAATAATTTTGACTTTGTAATTCAGTTTATATAATTCTTATAAAAATTAGACAATGTTACAGTGTTTATAATAATCTATTCGAAAACATTTAATATTTCTCGAGTTAATATATCTTCAAAAATAATTTCTTTTAAGTTGAAGCTAGAGTGATTGGAATTAATGTAATATCCTCATTTATAATACAAAATTAAATTGAATGAAAAATATCATAAGACTAAATATAATTATTTTCAATGGGTTAATAAAAAATAAATACGTAACAACGGAAAAAAGAAAAGTCGGAGTTAAAACTGAAATCTGTTAACTTGGAACGTAGGTCCAAAATATTATTACATGTGTGTCTAATAGGAAATGATGCAAAGATTTATTTATAAATGCAGAGTTCAAAATACACAGGAAACAGATCTGGCACAAGTACTATATCGCAGAATCATAATAATTTCATTTTATTGAAACATCTGTATTTTATTGAAAAATTGTTCATATATTATTAAGAGAATTATGATAAAATTAAATTAAGTAGTATCAGAGTAGAAGTAATATTGCGTGCGTTTATAAAAAAAATATTATAAAACAAAATCTACAATCTAGTATCGTAACCTCGACTAAGTAGAAATGCATGATCAAAAAACTGAGTTTTAATAAATCACTTAATTAAAAATTATTTACTTACATTAGGATTGTTCTGTAGTACATTTGATGCAGCCCTCTGATAGTTCAGTGGACTTGGAGGAATAGTCGGAGCTGCTCTTGAGTACTGAGGAACATTATCCTGTTTTGGTATAGTTTTATCATAATGAGGAGCAGGCGGCAAACCATTTTCTAGCCTCAGATCTCTTTCTACTTTAGCAGGAGCACGGAAAGTGCTGTGGGCTGATGCATATTCTGCAGTCGGCGGATATTTGTTGTTATCCTCGGGAGAAGCATCCTTGAAAAACATTAGTCCTCGGTCGCTGTACTGGCTTAGATTTAACGACTCGGATTCAGTAATCGATTTGTCAAGTGTACTATTCAAAGGCAACGTTGAAGCGTTGTTATAGTAGTCTGAGTGACCTGAAATGGATAGTTTATTTACTAATAAATAGATATTTTACAAGATAGCAAATATGCTATGCTATATTCAGTATATTCTCTATTGTAATTGATATTATTCATATAAATCATAGTTTGACATAAAAGACAAAGGAATTTCCTAATCGTTGTAAGTATGTGTGCAGGTATGTACATAACTATATTTATTTCTATTAATATATGTAAAAATAAAAATTTAGTTACTAATACTCAACATCCCTAATATAGTTCCAAATTCCATTTTTCAGATAAGATTTGTCTGGAGATTATAGTTGAACCGCTGGATTGTAATTTATATTAAACATGCTTCGTAATCAATAAGTGATTCACATGGTTCACAAGTTCACATCAAAATAATAGGCACTTCAATTTATTATCCGAAATCGAATCAATAGATAAAAACCAAACACAAGAATACTCATTGTCCAAAAAAGTATGTTTAATTCACGTGATTTTGTAAGTTTTTCGGCGATAATATTTACAATATATTAAAATCTCTTCAAAATTTTATGGTAGGATCTAAAAATTAAGAGCTTATAAGTTTATATTCTACAAATAATTATTATAAAATAATTACGATTTAAATCATCTGTGAAATTTGAAATACAAAATGATCCAAAATCAGTTATTGTAGTTTAAAAATTGAAATACAATTGGATTTATCTCAAAAATTGTATTAAGGTTTACAATCATTTTAAATAAAAAAAAAGAGTTGAGATGGTTTATATTATAATTTTCGTAGTATCTTTTACTAAAAGACACACATATACATGGAATTTCTTGGAATAATATTAGAGTTAATAAAAATATTCATATACATATAATCTATTAGATTTTAAAACTTTTTAAATAAATGTGTTTTCCGCAGGAGTGACTCTGCTACGAGGCAGTAAACGGCCAAAATAATTGTCATATAAAATATCTCCAGATTTTTGAATTATTATATATACAAATGTATTTAAAAAATAGTTGTAAGTATCATGTAGCTTGAAGGCAATAATTCCCGACCTATGTAAATAATCGACTTATTGAATAAGAATTACCATGAGTGAAAAGTTATTGCAGATTATTCAAATTATTTCAATTTTTTATTATGCGTTATTGAAAAACAAATACGTGTCTAATTAATTGTAAGTATTTTCTAAAAGCGCTGCCGCTTTTTTATATAAATAATAAAGAAAATATTTTAGTATATTTTCTAAAACCAGATATTTTGTCGTCATACAAAGTTTCATTAAAATCGTCGAGAATATTTTTTAACGATCAATTACAAAGAAACGGCCTGTTCGATCTTTGTGCAAAACTAATCAGCACGATACGCAAATAATATCTTTCGAATAATTTTTAAAATTTTTAAAATTGGTTTATAGTTTTTAGCTAAAACACGTACAAAAAATTTTTGCACTTTTCTCACTTAGTGAAGAACACATACCTACATGCACACACATTTTTTTTAAAATCGTACTCATTCCATCCAAAATTACTTGAAACGTCGAGAAAACATAAAATTAGCGTATCATATTATCGCGGAAACAAACTTTTCTTCAGGAAGGTAATTAAAAATTACACCTCTACAAAAACTAATTAGAGTTTTCAATAACAATTAACAAATTTTCTGAACTTCACAATAACAAATTAGAATTATCAATACCTTAACTCAGAGTGATAAAAATTGAAAAAAAAATTATCACAACTATTGATGAAGTAATAAAAGAAAGAAGCAAAAAATACCACGAAAAATTACCAGACCAACAACACAAATATTTAAAAGAATTAAGTGGGAAATCTCATACTCGAAGATTGAAACAAAAATGACCATACGATCTTAAAGGTCAAAAAATAAAAAAATAAAATATATCTCACAGGAGATAAACTCTTTAAATGCATTTACATCCAGCATATTGTCTTATAAAATTGTATTATTTTGATCGGCAATAAATCTATGAAAAAAAATGTCACAGCGAATGTCGTCTATAGACGACGCTCATAGCGAAAGGGTTAAAAATCTGCACGAAGTAGTACTAATTTTACACATTAGAAATCAATTGCAATATCAATCACAATCGTACCTGCATGATGCTCCATACTGTCATCGACCTCCGGTATTCCCAAGTTAGCGGCGAAGGGTCTCTGCTTGAGTCCCTTGCCAGCCCCGAAAGTCGAGCCGGCCGCGGCAGGATCCCGGAATCCTTCGTTGCGGTAAGCCAGTTCGTATCCAGGCGCGTTGTTGGCGTTAGGCAAGGAGCTGCCGCCGTTGGCATAATGATTGCCCAGTCGCGGCTTCTCGTAATCCTTGCCGCCCTCTCGAAACTCGTTCGCCCCGTAGAAACGTGGCTTTGAATCTACGAACGGATTCACGTTCTGCGAGTGTAAGCTAATAAAGAAGAAATATAGATTTGTAATAAGTTAATGTTTATTGAGATCATAACTTCATGTGTCAAATATATTCGGTTATTCACAAAGTTTATCTTTACCGAGAAAAATAATTTGTTTTTAACTTCCCGTAGGGTAAGTTATTGTAATGGGCCGAAAATCGGAATTGAAAATTTTTACATTTCTCGACGTTTTGAAGGTTTCTGAACATTTTGGCATACTTCAGAAAAAATGGATGTGTGTGTGTGTGTGTGTAAGTATGTATATGGATACAAATTTTCGTCCACGTTTTCGGGCGTACGGATCAACCGATTTGAATGGTTCAAAAAACATTCGATTCCTATTGATAGAGAGATGTGCTGATTAGTTTTTCGCAAAGGCAGGTCCAGCCGTTACGGAGATAACGAGCAAAGAGTGCAGAAAATAGAAATCGTGTTTTTGAGAGAAGGAAGCATCCGATTTGAATGATCTAAAGAACATTTAATTAGTAATGATTGGTAAAAGAGGTTATTAGTTTTTGGCTAAGGTAAGCCCAGCCATCGCAGATACAGAGCTAAATATACAAAAAATGGCAGTTTTTGAGAGAAATAAGCATCCGAATTGAATGATTCAAAAAACTTTCTGCTTGTGTTGACAAAACAATTGCTTTTGAAAAAAAAAATTCAATTCTTTTTTTGTATATCGAAAATAATACAGATTTCAATTTTAATTCTAGCTAAAGTTTTAAAGCTCACTTATATACTTAAATAATTTTAACTTTGTAATTCAGTTCATATAATTCTAATAAATATCAAACGATGTTACAGTATTTTTAATATTAAATGTTTTCAAATAGATTATTGGGAAAAGGGCAGACAAAAACTATGGGAGGAAATAATCAAACAAAAAATCTCCCTTCCAACTAATTTTATAACAGTGATGACAGATACAAGATTATACGGTGCTCTTTATACTTACATCAAATCTAATAATATAAAACTATAAATGAAATATACATAAAACAATGATATATACGTAAGACTAGACTTTAAGAGATAGTGTAGATATCATGTAATTTAGTATATGGCTAATGTACTAGTTTATAAAGCCAATAAATCATAAATAAAAAAAAATAGATTATTCTATTTGGAAACATTTAATATTCCTGATGATACAGTATTTTTAATATTAATTGTTTTCAAATAGATTATTCTATTTGAAAACATTTAATACTCCTTAAACATTTTGTTACGGTACGGGAAGTTCCAGCAATTTGCCTTAAGGCACGTTGCCATACACCACTAGTTATTTCTCATATGCACCAAATTTTGTAAAATGTTATGACATTGAAAATAGCCTGCTATATTACTATTTTAAATATAAATATGCCAATATTTTATCTATAAAAAAAATCTAAGTCCTCATATAATTACGACTATCCTCATATAATAATATACGTAATGTAGAGAAGGGCGAGGCACAAAAGTCCAAATTTGACTTTAAGAAATTATATTGTGAAAAACAAACCGATTATATCACAGAAAAATAACACATATCAAACGTACAATATCTGACTATGTTCAAAAAAACTCCCAGTGAATTCATCAATATTCAAAAAATTATTATCTGGTCTTCTTTACCCCATGGGCGTGGCAAACAGGTTCTGTTCTTATTTTTAATTTCAAAACGGATTTTATGATATAAAAGCTACATCATTTACCAAATGCAAACTAAAATTTTATGGCTACATTTTTACAGAGATAACACTATATAACCTTGATTTGGTATTTCGTCATGAATATTCATCAGCAAAGTTGGAATAACTATTTATTTAATTTATCTCTTGTAAAGTTATTTTTAACTTAATTATTTTTTCATTCACTACTTTTTATTGTTTACATCTTTGCCAGGTTAGACGTTTAGTTGACCTTTTTGACCTTAACCACGCTTTTATTGAAGTTATATAAAAAATCTGTTGAATCTAACTTAAAATTGAACTTACATCTCATAAAACAATTAAATAACAACTTATACTTAAAAATTATATCAAGGCTTCGTAAACTAAACAATTGTCCTCACAACCCAAAAAACTAACAACGAAGGTAAACACTTTTAATATGGATTTTCAAACATTGACGTTTATCTCCCGACAGCATAATTGTAAAAATTATGGCTGGTTATACACCTTTTTTACTCTACTTTGAAATATTGTTGTTAAAAAATTCTTGAGATATCGGTATCTTTTTATCCGCTTTACCCTGTATTAAAAATGTTTCAAATGTTACCCTATATTGAAAATGAAATTTAGATAAGTTAGTTAAAACGACTTGACTTATAAATAGTGCTTTTTGGGTTGAATTATTAATGTTAATTATTTTAATTGCATAAAGAGAAGATACATAATCTGACTGCAAAATTATGATGCAAACCATATGCGCGCTGCAACTGCAACTCGTTGAACAGATTCACCTCGCTCTAATCTTTTCAAATTAGGTCAATTTATTTTTAACCAGCGGGATATGGCATTTAAGGCAAATTATGATGATACTCCGTTTTATAGAAAAATTCTAGAAAAATAAATTTTTCTGTGAAATGAAAAAAGATAATTTTTGTTAAGTTTTAATTTGTTTGAATTTTTTGTTTTATTATGAAAATCTTATTTTTTTTCCTTTTCAATAAAGATTTACTAACAGAAGTAAGTTGACCCTGACTGCAAAATAAAACAGAATTTTAATATCACTGCATAAAGATCAAGTACGAGCGTCACAATTAAAATAGTTTGCCGTAATTTTTAATTTTATACGTGAGCAAAATTTCATATCAAGATTGGCTTTTTAAATTAAACCAAGTCATCGAGTTTTGAAAGTTTTACTAAAATTGTTGAAATTATTATATGAAAGGATTTATAGTAGGAGGTTAACACACACTTCCTCTAAGCATGATATGCAAAATGATTAAAAAATTCTGAAATGTTAATTATATAAAAAAAAACATTTTTAATATTTTTCGTTTTCAATAATTTAGCCTACAGAAAGTAAATGAAGTGAATTTCTATCCATCGCGAATTAAGTTTTAGAAATAATCCTCTCCTTCATTGATCGAATCTCTATTGATTTGTTGGTAAATATTATAAATATCTTAGGGGACGTCCATTAATCACGTAGATCGATTTTTTGTAACAACCTACTCCGGAGGATACGTCGTGATATACAAAAGTATCCCCCTCCCCACCAAACATCACGTGTTTTTCTAGTTACGCATAATTTTTGGTACAAATTTTTCGAATTTACGAAAAAATCGTATTTTTTTTTAATTTACGTAAAAAATAAATACACGTGATATCTACCAGACCCCTTCCTCCCCCAGAACATTTTTTGAGACTTTTTATCAAACCCCCCTCACCCTAGAATAATGAATTTATTAGAATAGTGATTAATGGACTATTGAAAAATATCTATGCCTTATTCAAATTGCACCACATTGATCAATTAATGATCAATCCTTTTATTCAATAAATATTGTACCAAATAATTTCTTCACTTGTAGTAAAATAATTTTGTTTCAGCCCGCAAGAGTATATAGTTAAAAAAAGGTATGATTTATTGCGCAATAGAAAAATACAATTCTCAACACAATCTTCAAAGTTTATTTCGGAATATTTCCACTTACCCATTGTAGCCAGTCCTAGGATTGTGGGATTCATAAACATCAAAGCTCCTATCGTCGTCTAAGCTGGATCCCGTGAATACGCTTTTTTCAATGGAATCTATGGAACCGGAGGACAGCATTCTTTTACAATCCGATGCTGATTTCACAGTTAACGTGTCAGTAGATCGAGATCCAGACTATATAAAAGATAAAAAAATGTCATAATATTAAATATAATTCTTTATATATTTTGCAATATTTTCAAAAATATTTTCTAATAATTTCTAGCACAGAACACTTTAAACATCGTACTCTCGCTCTGACTTTTTATTCAAAATTTCAGTGTTAAAACTGTATTTTATTATTCAATTTGATTAATTTATCATATAAAATGCCAGAATATATTTTTTGGTTTAATATATAGACAAACCATTCATACTTCATAATTATATAGACTGTATTTGCCATAAAATTAATATTAGAATAGAATGCTCACAAACGTGTTCTATAAGAAAATACGTGTCTTCACGACGATTATCATATGAAAATACAGTTTGTGTAATTAATTAATTAATCAACTTAATCAATAAAAAATAATTTAATTTATGAGTGATTAAAAGTATTTTGAGTGGATTTATTATACATAATTGAACACGAACGAACACGTTAACACGTAATATTTTCTAAAAGCAAATTTTCAAAAATGAACATTTTTTATAATTGAACCAGTTTTCATAGGATTTTAATAGTTTAGTAAGTTCATTAAGACCAGGTACTCTATTGCTATACCAAGTGAATCGTCTAATTTTAATTTTAGCTAACGTCAGAAAAACTACTTATTTTCTCAAACTTTAATGAATTTTTAAAATTAAACCACTTGTCGTATTACGGCCTCAAAGGCCGTAATATAACAGTAAGTTCTATAAGACCATGATATTTTTTTCAACAGTTAATTAGAAGAAAACCGCTCGGTAGATTTTCATCTAAAACTAATCAGTCCCAACTATTACCTTTCGAACAGTTTTTGATTTTTTGAAATCGATTCGATAGTATGACCTTAAATCTGGACGAAAAGTTTACCACGTTTTTTTAAATTATAAAGAAACGGTTCGGCAGATCGTCGCACAAAACTGACAAACGTTAGTCCTCATCGAGATGCATCAAATGGCTTTTAAATTTCTGAAATCGGTTCAGGCGTTTTTGAGAAAATGTCGATGAAAGGTCTAATTTTGACAAATGCCAAAAAAACGATACCAATTTTTGCAAACTTTGACGAATTTTTAAAGTTAAACCAATTGTCGTAGGGCCGCAATATTTTAGTATGATATAGAAGACTATGGTATCTACCGTCAACAAAAAATCGTCGAAAAATAATTTTATTACACTTTATTACAAGAAAACGGCCGATCTTTACCAAAAACTAATCAGCACGATTTCCAACCAATATTTTTCGAACGGTATTTGAATTTTCATAATCGATTCAGAATTGCGGGCTAAAACGTGGACTTAAAATTTTTCACTTTTCTGCTATTTATAAAGAAACATGTCAATCGAGTAACATTTCAAAAACTCCGTTGAAAAAATTACAGCTTTGACAAGGATTTGTATGGTATCTAGTTCCCTCTCAAAGACTGTTGTATATTCAGATTATAATATTATTGCTCTTTCTGCAAGCCATTCATGAACCATGTACTGGGTGTGCATATAGGCAAATATTTGTACAATGGGATAATCCTGCGAATCAGATTATGAAAGAATCTGGTTGATAATTTGACGCATGTAGTTTTATCGATGGTAACCTTTACTAATGGTAAAGGTTTTATCGATGGTAACAATTCTTAGATAATATCTAAGAATTGTTTTGAAAATATTTCAGCGGACAGAGCTCATATATTTAAGCTTTTCTTTAAGCTCAGAAAAATATGGATCAAAATTCAACAAACTTTGTTCACAAAAAGGATGATGATTGATCAGTTATCGAGCTTTATGAAAAATGATTGGACTACTAAAATGACTATTATGAAATAAGGATATCTGATAGGACAGTGAAAATATAAGGTTGTATATATTTCTCAATCCCAAATTCACAAAACTAAAATGAAGAAAATTAACCCCTAAATAAAAAAATGTTAGGGTTGGACAACCTATGATATAATTTTTCTCCATAAACTTCAGAAAAATCAGAATTAAAATTAAGTCAGAAACAATCAATCGATGATTGCATGCAAGATGAAAAATTATTCGATTACTAAAATGACAAATAAGGGGCTTGTGTGGAAAGAGGGTGAAGACTTAGGCAGTTAGTATGGTTAGTATTAAGTATAATTTCTGTGTGCTAACGTAATTATCAGTTTATTCTATGTGCTATGTTAATTTAAAAAAATATTTAAAATAAACAAAACATAAAATTAAATAATTTTTCAGTGCAATGTATATTACCATATAATAAATAATAAAATCACCAACATTTCTATAATCATTGATAGATAAAATTTATCGCAGACTTGATACAACTGGCCAGCTATCATAATATCAAATCAACACAATTTAATGTATTTAAAAAAAATCAGATACCTTTTATGTTGTTTTTAATTATAATTATATATGTATCTGTATCATGCTTACTATTTTTGGTTGCTTATCACAATGTCTGCGAATCGATTGAATTTATATCTCATTTGATGATATTTGAAATATCGTCATTGACAACCATTAGTCATATCTGACATATATTCTTACCAAGTTTTTTCTCCTCATAGAACCGGGATCCAGGCTATTCAGAGACCTCAAGGATTGTCTGATACTGTTTCTTCTCTGCAAACGTTGTGCATGACGATGTCTTGATTTATGATACCAGCAAGCTAAAACACATTGATAAAGAAAAACGAATTACAAAGCGAAAATATTTGACTAAAAAGCGTTTGACATTGTTGAAAAATTGGATCAATAAATTTAAAATGCTTTGATATAAAGTAGGGCGGAGCACCAAGGTCCAATTTGACTTTGAGTAATTGTATAGTGAAAACCAAACCAATTGTATCACAACATATGACACATATCAAACAAGTAACTATCTGACTATTCAGTTAAAACCCCAATTCATCATTGCAAAAATTTCTTCTTTTGCTCTTGTTTAAAAATTTGTCATCTGGTCCTTTTTGCCCATGAGTAAAATGGAACTACGAGGGTGCGAACAGGTTTAATATTTTTTTCTAAATATTTTAAAGGAATTTTACGAAATAATAGCGTCATTATTTAACCAATTCAAAATAGAAATTTCATGGCTTTACAAAGATAACACTGAATATAACCTTGATCTTGTACTTATTAGGAATATTTATCAGCAGAGTTGAAATAACTATTTATTTGATTTATCTCCTGTAAATCTTCGTCTTTACTATTTTTTATTGTTAACACCTTTTGTTTATTACTTCGAAATAGTATCGTTAAAAATTTCAATCGTTTTGGGAATAATGTTGGTGGACCTTTCAGCCCCGATCTACACTTTATAGCAATAAGCATAAATTTGATTAAATACTGCGGCTTTCTTTGTATGGTCCAGAAATATTTTACAAAAAATTTGGTCTAATTGTAAAATTATTTAAAAAAACTAAATTTACTAAATAATTCTTTTAATACCTACTTTTTAATTTATATTTAATTCGACAAATTAGCTGCTTTATTAGCAAGATATATTCTTGTGCATTGAAACGAGGAAGAAAAATTGATAATCAAATATAATACTTTGAAAGTAAATTACTTACTGAATCTACTGTACATATACTTAATAGTATTGATTTTCATTTTATTAAAACAAATCAATTAATTTTGGTTTTGCACATATTTTTATCATTATGCAAAATTGCTTTTGGCATTTAGACATTCCTTAAAAATATCTATTTGATTAACCGATAACTGTTCCGTTGACCTTTGCAAAATATTTACGTTTTTAAATGCGTTTTAAAATTTATTATTTTGTTTTGTTGAAAAAAAAAAGATTAGAAAATATACTATCTGGAAAAACATGTGTGAGTCACGAACATTTTGTGTGTACACGCAGTTTTAATTATACATAAAATTTTAAACTAACAATAAGAAAATGTTTAAGCTAATAAAAACTCTAAACCACTCCGTGGTTTTATTGTGATTTTTATAACAAGTTTTTACTGGGTTAATGTTAAGTCATTTATTTAAATATTTAAAATAATACTAGCAAACCGGGCGAACTCCGTTTCACCACCAGATGGTTTCATTTTATGTAACATTTGATTTGGTGATTAAAAGAAGAAGAAAAAAAAATGCCTGCTGTTGAAATTGAATAAAAATTTGCACAATACACATGATTGATTTGATGGTTTCCAATTGAAATGTTAGAAAATGTTAAAAAACTTATTTTTTTACATTTTTTGCACAAATTCACAGTGAACATAATGCCGGTTTGTCACATGAAATTAACTGAGCAAAGAACAATGATTAGCAGTCAAACAAAAAATATTAGTTTGTAGCACATGCTAAGTATCAGAGATGATGTATGTGAAAAAAGAAAAAATCTTTTTCGCTTTTCTGTTGAAATCTTTCTTCAATTTTCTTTGCTATAAACCTCACGGAGTCCGAGACCTTTCCAACGAATGCAAAATCGTCGAAATCGGTTCGTGTGTTCTGGAGTTATATCGCCAGGAAGGAATCCCTGACTTATTTTTATATAGTAGATTATAAATTAACGTTTATAATTACTGTCTAGTTTCAAACTAGTTCTAGTTTAGTTATTGCATTTTAAATAACACAAAAAAATGTAAAACTATTTTTTTCACAAAATAATTAATAGTAAAGGTCATTCCAATAACTTACCAATAGCCAGAGCCAATACCAAAACAGCAATAGCCATTGAGCTTATCACTCCGATGGCAACAATGTCCGTTGTCCATAAAAGTGGATCTATGCTGACAATTGGATCTGTAAAAAAAATATATATTATAAATAAAATACATAACTGTACTTATGAATAAAGGAAACTTCAGCCCTAATAGTTATTATTTGTTTAGATTGTTTTTAAACGGCAACCAGAACTAAGAGCTCTATAACCTGCTGAGATGGTTCATCTCAACCTAATATTTAGTCTATTTGACGTATTCTAGAAGGAAACTCAGTGGTTATTCCACAGTTTATTTGTGATTAAATAAAACAAATTAATTGCAATACAAAAAATATCAACTAGAATTGGCAATTAATTAGTACATTAGAAATAGACGACCATATTCATAAATTTCATCAACATTAGGTAAACTGCTGAACCGATGTAGCGGAAAAAGGGTCATTTAATAAATATAATCATTGACCAAAAATAGAATATGTGCAATATATAAAAAAACATTCCTATATTTGATATAAATAATATTATTGTATTATATGTTATAATTTATTTACTAAACTTGGAGTTCAGTGATAATAAATGAGAATTCTCAAATTTTTTATAAGATTCACTAAAATCGTAAAAGCTTTTAATTTTAGTTTAATAAAGTTGAAATCGGGTGATGAATTTTCATGTCATGGGGTTGAAATCAAATGGCCAACATCAAGCTAAAACTTTTGTTATGACTCTTATCTCTTCAAACATTGATATAAGTTTGCAATATACTATCCATAAAAAAATTCTAAACAATAATTTCAAATACTAATATTTATCGGGTAGCCTTTAATATAAACTAGTTTCAAAATTTTCTCTAAAACAATGCCACATTCCGCTTTTGATCAAGAAAGATATTCCACATTCCACTTAAAAATTAAAAACTCTCTTTATAATTGAATTTAAATTCAATAAAATTCCAAGTCTTACCTATTTCACATATAAATCCATGTCTGCTCTGGCAGTCATCTAAAACAATGCCCCTGTACTCTAAGGCCGTGCATTGATCGATTCGGTCCAGGTCCTGGACCCACACGCGCTGGTCGTACGCTGCCGACACGGAGTAGTCGTTGGCCACTCCTCTCTGCTGTTCCAGAAATGCGAGGACAGGCGAAGTATCAGACCTCATGTATGGCATCGAGGCATTGTCATTCTAGAATTAATGAATAAAGATTGAGAAACAGGTTGCATTGTATTAGGTTGTCAAATATCTCCCTTCCGCTTTTTTGCTCTTGGTTTATAATACAAAAAGGTGGATATTTGACAACCTATTATATGAATATATTTATACAATTTCATATAGCCGTGATTCATCAATAACTAAATATATTTTTAGACCAACTTTTACTCCATTACTATTATTATTCCAAATTGAATTTGCGTTTGTAAACATTAGTTACCGTTATTATAAATTTTGAAATGATTAGGTTATTATTTAATACATTCAATAAATACAATAACCTCTGAATATTGTAGCAATAAAAACAGGTACATACATATAGTAAGGAATTCTATGCAAGTCACAATAAAAAAAATCATATAACAATATTTAGAAAAAGTGAATAAAGTTCCGACCTAAAAAGCAGTAATTATAGTTAAATATAGTTAAGTAATTTTTTAAGACGTTATTTAATCTATTGTTTTTCTTCAACATGTCCGATATAATACATACCATTGTGTATGAAATCAATTGTAACATTATATCTAATATGTGAAAGAGTAATACCTGAACGTAAAAAACTCTATGTAACACCCTTAAAGTGTAAACTACATTACGTAATGTAATACATATTTTTAGTAAAAAAATTGAAAAACTAATTTTTTTAATTGAAAAAATTAATTAATTTCAATTAATAACAATCATGTAAATTTAAAAAGATCAATAAAATATAACTTAATGTGTTTTAAAATTTAACTAATTAAAAGTGGCATTTAGCTTTAAGGTAAGTTGCATGAACTTCCCGAAATGTGTAATAATTGAGTTAATCAATCGAAATTGAAATTTATATATTTAAATCAATTTAATCTAAACATTGCGATTACGAATATAATTTTCTCAAACACATTTAAAGTAACTGTAATTATATTAATTCTATTGCACAGACACTTGCTTCAATGCCCTAAAATTGTAGCTTATTAATTTAAATTTTAATGTATTTATTTAAATTATATTAATTATAGTGTTTGACTCATCTCATCACAAAAGCAACTTTTGACACAAATTTTAACTAATAATAGTAATAATAATATTTTTTCCAATTTTGATGAATGTTTAACATTAAACTATTTGCTGTAGAGCCATAACGTTTTAGTATGTTTTATATGACCATGATATCAATTGCCAAAAAAGGATTCATAAAAATCGGCAAAAAAAATTGTTTCAACAGTTAATTTCAAGAAAACGGCCCGGTAGATTTTTACCTAAAACTAATCAGTAAAATTCATCAAAGAGTTTTTTTGCTTTTTGATGAAAAATTTGTTTTTTTCTGCTATTTACATAGAAACGGCACATACACATGTTTTTTCCAAATTTGGGCTCGATTCCGAATGGCTTGAATTGTCGAGAAAACATAAAATTAGCGAATCGGATTTTTTCATAAAAATATAAACTTCTCCTTTGGAAAGTTAAAAAAATCATTTTAGAGCCAGTTAAAATGCATAAATATTGTTAAAATGTATAAATATGCCATATATAATATGTGATCATCATTAACTGTATAAAATATGAAATATAACTAAATTAAAATACTCTCCGAAATCATATAATGAGCAATGGCTATTTACCAAAATAAATGCAATAAAAAATGTAAAGTGATATAATTAACTATGATTAACTATTTAATTTATATGATGAAGTGCTGATGTAATAAATCTAAAATTGTTAAATTACTGAATGAATCACTGCTGGTTCTCTCAAAGTCTATTCTGTGAGCAGAGTAAATAATAATTTTACTCTTTTTTACTTAAACATAATATCTTAAACTTAAAAAAAATCAAAATATAAGAATTGTGTGTATTAATTTTATATAAAAAATCAAGTGTTAAATGTAGGCTGCAAAGATGCCTTCTAAGTTGGCTTCTAAGATGTCTTTTTTAAATTTTCTCTTTTAGAGAATGTTTATAAAAATATCTTGTATCTAATGGTGTATTCAACTGGTATTAAAATTAACAATTACGCAGTCAGATATTTATTATACAAAAAGAGTACGATTCCTCTTTAACGATTTTGCAGATATATTAAATATAGATTTGACTCTAATGTATTATATCTGACTGATAACTGTATAGATAAATTCATATTTCATATTTTTACAGCATTTTTGAAAAAAAAAACATATGTTTCGGTAGAACCATCACGTTTTTCAATATAATTCACCCCAAAGATCTTGCTTGAAAATACAGATTATCAATATAAGGCAGCTTACCATACAAAACTCTTTGGCTTCTCTAAAGCCCATCGGAGCTCCAATATACGAATAGCAAGTATCTAGTACAGCTCCCCATCCTGGTGGACATTTTCCGTCCAGAACAGTTTGATTGTTATCGTGCATAGGAAGGTACTGAACTTCCACCAGTGCCGGATCATCGGCTCTATCCCGAATACGGGCCCCAACTGCTAGAGTTATATTGTAGCCCCAGTAATTATGGGCGGCATCGATCTTGGTTTTCCATAATTCCTGAGTACTAATGGTAACAACAAATTATATTAAGAAAATTATGAAATAGTAAAGTATTTTATACTTTAAAAAATATTTATATAGTTTGGGCTAACATGTATCGTTAATTATTACTGTTATTGACTTTATTGTTTTGCAATTGTTCCTGTTAATCTTACCTTCATATAATCCAAATATGAACAAATTTTTTACTAACATGCGAATCAAATGAACAAAAATTTGTATAGGCAATTCAGTATTCAAAATCCTATCAAATATTGCATAGTATTGTATGATAATGATGTGAATTTTTATTCGTAAAATAGTAACCTAGTTTCAAGACTTCGTCGAACTTTTATGGCTTTTTTAATATAAGTGGGTATACCAACGAAGATTATCCAATAAAGTTTTAATAATTAACTTCTCATAGAGTAAGTTATAGTAATCGCCAAAAAATCGAAAATAAACATTTTTGTATATCTTTACTTTTCAAAGGTTTCTGAACATTTTGGCATACTTTAGACAAAATGAGTGTATGTATGTATGTGTGTGTGTGAGTGTGTGTGTGCGTGTGTGTGTGAGTGATAGTATGTGTGCGGATACAAATTTTCTTTGACTTTTTCCGGAACACGGATTAACCGATTTGAATGATTCAGAAAACATTTTACGGATTGACAAACTGGTGAAATTTTTTGGAAAGGCAGATCTAGGGTTTTGGAAAATACAATGAGAAAAATAAAAAAAAAATCCACTAGATATATGCACATCAAATTATCAGATAATTTATAGAGATTTTAATAATATGTACGAATTTTGTTTGCATTTCTATAAGTTCTGTATCAATGTTCATCTGTTACCCTGCGACGCGGCGCTTACGCGCTTCGCTATTTTGTTTCTAAAACAGTTACCCATCACAATTGCAAAAATTAAAAATTTTATCTTAAAACTCTTAAAAAAATTATTTTTGGTACGGAAAATTCTAGCACTTTGCTTTAAGGCTCGAAATTAAAAAGAACCAAATTAAAAAATACATTATCATATGTTCTGTAATTTTTTTACATAATTCAAGCTACATCTGATGATCGAATTGTATCTTAAGAGTTCATACTATTTATCTTATTTTGCAGAAGAGTTTATTTATTGTGAAATAGATTGAAATAAGACAGTATTTTTCTAAATTTGGACCAACGATTATTATCAGGCAAATTGGTACAAAAATGAAATTAAAAAATTTATATATTGATTTTGAAATTCCTGTTCATCTGAATATATGATTGAATCTATATTGTAAATACTACTCAAAACAGCCGCTTTTCTGGCTGTCATATTTAATAATTCATGATTAATTAATATATAATATGTAAAATTTTGAGAAAAGAAAAAATTATTTTAAAAAATTCTTAAAACTTGACAGCAAATATACAAACAGATAACACATTTTTTTGTATTTATGATTATAAATTAAGCAGCTTTTAATAAATTTTGATATCTTTGGCCAATTTGTATTATTTGTCAGATAATACGTTTAATAGTTGATTAAAATTATTTGTAAATCATTTAGTATCGTTAGTTATACCGACTTAGTACTAAAAAACCAAGAAGCTTAACTCAAAACTATGTGTATCAAATTAATAAACATAAATGACAATACAAAAAATTAATAGAAGTATGTTAAAATATTAACAGATCATTAATAATGATTATAATATTCAGACTTTTAGCAGCATAAATGATTTGCAACTTAATAGTTTATCGTATAAGCATTTAATAAAATAGTCATAATTTTAACTATAATAACTAAAAAAATTTGAAAAATATCTCTTGAACTCACCTGTTGAATTGTAACTCAAATCTGCAGGCAAAATGCACAAGCAGTCATGCAACAAAAAATGAATAAGTAATACCACATGCATGAATACAAAATTAATAATAAATATAATTTTATATATTCGGTACACTACTTAAATTGTTTACTTACTTTGATTAATATTTGATACTTTGATAAGTTGATATTTGATACTTTGATAAGTTGATATTTACTAATTGAAAGTAGGTACAGTTTATAGTAGACATAATTTACTTATAATAAGTTACTGTATAAAATTATATAAACTGTATAAAACCAACTGGCATTAACTTTAAATAAATAAATACATAACTTACTTCATAAATAGTATAAATAAATAAAATCAAGTGTTATTTGTTACTTATATACTAGTAAATAAATGAAAGAAAATTGTTAAATTATTGTCAAATATTTAGTAGAGCGATTAAATATTGTCATGAAACTTGATATGATTAATGAAAATCTATGTTATTTGCTATGAATAATTGACGCATTTATAATCTATGAATTCTTGGAAAAAAAGTTCATAGATTTGTTAGAAAATGCGATTTCCTAATTTTTCTTGATATAAAATTTATTCTAAATAATACTCAAAAATTGTAAAAGTTATATATATGTATATGAACTTGAATTTAACTTATATTATTTCGATTATAATCATTACTGACACTCTAGTAACAATTTTGTTAAACTTTCACGTTTCATGTCTTTTACATTTAAAATACTAAAGATGGAGTTTATAATAAAAATAAGAAAATAATTTAGTCTTTTGAAAATAAAAGATATCTTTCATTCATGAAATATATAATCTAATATATCAACTTCATTGTTAATAAATTGTAAATATGTTACAATTTACTTTAGAATTACTTACTGTAAGTGTTAGATTAAGATATCTTTGTTAATCGTTACTATTTATAGAATATATTATAGAATGACTAATTTGACGATTATAATAAATTCTATAAAATTAAATAAAATTTTACACTCACATAGATCTGTTGACGGTAATCATTTCATAATCATTGTCCGGGTTGAAAAAGATGTTATCCACATACTGTTGCCCTGCAGTGCCTGCTACGATCGTAGCTCTGCCCAACGGGTCTACGGCGTAGTTACTGTAATAGACGACGAAAATAAAAAACTATTTATTTATACAACGCGAAAATATTTCATTCATCCATAATTTATATTCTTTTAATGTATAATACTTGAGCTTCATCAACTTCAAGTACTATCCTCAATAATGTATTAACTTCTCTTTATACAAGTCGCAAAGATCGTAAACAAATCTAAAATGACCTTATTGTGATATACATATTGAACTTGCAAAATCATCTAAATACTTTGACACACCAGAGAAAATGTATATGATTATTGTGCATGTTTGTGTATATTATAATATCTGTAACCTTGGGAAGAGAACATTTGAACTGATGAAGGACAATTAAAACATTTTAACCCTTTCCACTCGCAAATTCCAAAATCTATGCGTGACATCCGAGTCGAAAGGGTTAATAGGATAATAGCTGAAGTATACTGATTTTTAAATACAGCCCAAAGGGTAAAATATTAAGTTTGTTTGTTCGAACAAGTTTCCATTATTGCATTGAGTCTACGTCCTAAATCTGTTGGCCGCATTGCTTTTAGAGAGTAAGAGAAGGTTTATTTGATTTTTTTTAATAATAACTGGTATTTGTATGCAGACAAATTACTTTATTTGTTATTTT